CTATAATAAGCCACAAAAGTGGCCCAGAGTTCAGAAGCCCAAGACAAACTCCACTGGCATATATAATAGGAGGTCCTTCTTACTAACATGTGATGAGAGAAATTAAATTATGGTTTTTACCAAGGTCAAGTCAGAAAAAAAATGTGTATGAATTCATATGTAATCCAAGCTCAGACTTCAGAAAAAGCACCAAAATGCACCGTAATTCTGCAGGGGCAGGCAACACCTGCTTCAAGTGAACAAGCTGCACCAGACTGGGTCTAACAACTTGGTACACAGTATATCAGTTTACTTCTTGATTCTCCAACCTTGGCACCAGAACTGGCATCTGTTCCTAGAAATATTTGTTTGCTTTTTAAGGATATACATTTTTCCACCAGAATCTAGAAAACAAGTTGATATGCGACTCCCGTCTGAAACTTTTATGTAAAAAAAAAGTAAGAGACAGCCAATTCAAATACTTGCTTTCAAGTGTCTGACTCACAGTAATGACCATGCAAGTTTTAAACAGAAAAATATTCCCCAGTTAAAACCACCAAACAATAATGATAAATCTTACCATAGGATTGCTGCCCTGGTTTAGGCCATTAAAACAATTGTTGTAATGACGACTCTCGATTATAATTTTTATATAATTCTTTTCCTAGGCTAATTTGCTTAAAAGTGCAGCTGATGCAAAGCTTCAAAGGCTCATGAGAAAACATAAATAGCACAACTCAAGGATTTTAAGCAAAAATACCATGCAGAACATACCAAAAAGGGGAGACATTCTTTGACTATGATCAAAAATAGGCACTATTAAATAATGACATATCAAGGTACTTACCTGAAAATCTGTTGAATATTTTCAGCTTTGATATCCTTGAGGATTTCACCATAGGGATGAGGATCATTTGGTTCTGCAGTTGCAGGGGAAGGAGGGCATTTTGTGTGTGCATAATACCCTACCACAATTCCAAAAATAAATAAAGTCGAAACAGTGCAGAAAAGTTTAAGTATCTGACAAGAATTGCAGCGGTTGCTCTTTGGTGCCGGTCTTGTATAATGTGAGACATAGTCTGGGTCTTCCTGAAGTCGCTGAAATCTTCCTTTAGGAGATGCTGAGGGCTGAATGGGCTCAAGGTCAAGATCAGTATTCTGTGAGATTCCCAAATGGTGCTGGGCTGTGCCATCCAGTCGGAAATGGTCAAAACCAGGCTCCTCCAGTTCTTTCTCCATGTCCCATTCCAGCTCCAGGGCAGTAGCCTGAAGGTCATCACTGTCAAGGTACTGAGAGGGCCCCTGTGGTCTCTGGTCTGCATTTACTTTGTGATAAGCCATCTTTTTACCTATTTAAAAAATAATGGAGGGGGGGAGATATCAGTGTTTGCTCCAGTGTGCATGGCAAATATTTAAAATTCTGCACGTCAGGTCCAGTTTCTGTCTTCCCAAAATGTCTGAGAATTGTGCATTCTAAAGGAAGAATTAGGTCCACAATACTTCATTCTGTGTGTAAAACTTAAAACATACTGATCAGAAGCATTTTAGAGTCAGTGTTTCCAGTGTTCAGAGGCACCATAAGTCCCCTGAATGGAATTCTGGCCTCTAATGCAACCATACAGGCTAAGGACAGACAGTACACACAAACCGGTTTAACTGATCAGAAACCAGTTTAAACCTGTAACAGAAAAAGAAGTTCATTGTATATAACCCGCTTTCAAAATGACCAAAACAGGTTTAAGACAGATCTGGATGAATGCAGGATCAAACTTAATTGATTTAAGTTAAACTAATCAACTTGAATCTGGAGGGGATCTGGGACAGAAATTTAACTCAGTCCCCCAACATCCCAGGATGCTTTGCACCTCTGCCACACACCTTGCCTTGCAGGATGGGCAGACTAACCTTGGCCCCTGCTGTCTGGCTCCAGCCCCTGGGCTGTCATGGAGCTGAGGCAGTGCAGCCTCTGTTGTTCAGCCCTGGTCCAGGCTGTGCCTGTTTGCCTGGCAGGACAACTGGGATGGAGAAGGGGGAACAGAACCTCCTCCAGCTCAGGCCTAATCCCTAACATGTGAGGGTTTTCCCTGGACCCCACACGAGTCACTGACACGCAGGTGGGAGGGAGGGGGAAGCAGTCCCTCCAGTCCGGGGCCAGCCCAGATCCCTATGCCTCAGAGGGGGTCCCCCTGTACCAGGCAGGGTACCCCAAGCCCTGCAGCCAGTGCAGAGAGGCAATACCCACCTCCCACCCTTCAGCATAGTCCAGCTTAGCCCCGCCCCCAAAAGCGCTGGGGGAACAGTCCCTCTAGCCTGGGGCTGACCTGGCACTCCACAACAGCCTACATGGGAGGGATCCCCAAGCTTCAGCAGGGTTCCCCTGTCTTGGGCAGGCTCCCCTGAGCACTGCTGCTGAAGTAGAGGAGAATTCCCACCCCCATTCCTCAGCATGGTCCAGTGCCACCTTTCCCACACCTGTGTGTGTGTGTGTGTGTGTGTGTGTGTGTGTGTGTGTGTGTGTGTG